ATCTTTCCATGTGTGGATAGTTGTTCAAATTGATGTTCTTGCGAGGAATGAGCATTGGAAAGTCCTATTTCACCATCTTGTTGCTGTTCAGTGAACACAAGTTCTTTATCAGACACGTAGTTTGGAAATTTTTTCTTTTTATTAACACGATCCTTCATGAACAGAAGTTTTAAATTTTGACATAGTCCTATTTATTTTTCTTCTTTTATGGATTGTGCCTTTGGCATTGTATTTAAGAAATCTTTGCCTAGTGCAAGGTGACAGAAAACATCTCATGTTTTCTTCAAGAAATTTTACACTTTTAGTTTTACATTTATGTCTATGACCACTTTTAGTTAATTTTTATATTTGATTCAAGGTATAGATTGAAGTTTATTATTATTATTTTTTTGCACAGAGCTATCCAATTGTTCCAGCATCATCTGTTTAACAAACTATTCTTTCTTGATTGAATTGCCTTTGTACCTTTATCAGAAATTAGTTGTCATATATGTGTGGATCTCTTTCTGGACTCTATTCAATTCCATTCTTCTATTCATCCACCCTTGCACTATTCCCATATGGTCTTTATTAATGTAGCCATGTAATAAATTTGAAGTCATGTAGTGTGAATCCTCCCACTTTGTTCTCTTTCTAATTGTTTTGGCTATTCCAAGGCTGTTGTATATCCATATGAATTTTAGAATCAGTATTTTAAGTCTCGCATAAATGAATTTTGATTGAGATTACATTGAATCTGTAGACCGGCTTGGGGATAACTGACATCCTAACAACATTGCTGAGTCTTCCAAACCATGAACAACTTACCTCCATTTATTTAGGTCTTTAATTTCTCTCAGCAATGTTTTCTACTTTTCATTGTACCTGCCTTGCACATCTTTTGTCAGATTTATCCCTAAGTATACTATATTTTATGCTGTTTTAAGTGGCATTTAAAATTTTTTCAGTTTCTGATTGCTTATTGCTGATGTATGGAAATGCAAATGATTTCTCATATATTGATCTTATATCCTACAAGTTTGGTAAGCTCACTTATTAGTTGCAGTACCTTCCTTCTAGATTCCATTGGATTTTCTTTTTGTTTTGTTTGTTTTTTGAGACAGAGTCTTGTTCTGTCACCCAGGCTGGAGTGCAGTGGTGCTATCTCGGCTCACTGCAACCTCCACCTCCTGGGTTCAAGTGATTCTCATGCCTGAGCCTCCAAAGAAACTGGGATTACAGGCATGCACCACCACATCCGGCTAATTTTTGTATTTTTAGCAGAAATGGGGTTTCACCACGTTGGCCAGGCTGGCCTTGAACTGCTGGCCTCAAGCAGTCCTCCCACTTTGGCCTCCCAAAGTGCTGGGATTACAGGCGTGAGCTACCAGACCAGCCCCATCAGATTTTCTAAATAGACAATCATGCTGCCTGTGGATAAAGATAGTTTCACTTCTCTTTCAATCTGGGTGCAGTTTACTTTTTTTTTCTTGCTTTGTTGCTCCTGTTAGATTCTCCAGTAAAATGTTGAATGAAATTGATGAGAGTGGATGCCCTCATCTTTTTCCTGATTTTAGGGGGAAAGCATTCAGTGTTTCACCAGTAAGTATGTTAGCTGTAGATTTTTCACAGGTATCCCTTATCAGGTTGAGGGAGTTCCATTCTATTTCTTGTTTCTTCAGAGTTTTGTTTGTTTGTTTTGGTGGGCGGTGGGGGGAAGGAATGGATGTTGAATTTGGTCATATGGTTTTCTGCATCTGTTGAAATGATCAATTTTTAAAAACTTTGCTAATATGGTCAGTTATATTAATTGATTTTCAAATGTTAAACCAGTGCTGTATTTCTGGAACAAGCCCCATTTGATCATGATGTACACTCCTTTTTATATGATTTGATTTGCTGACGGTTTGTTTAGAATATGTGTATCTATGTTCATAAGTGAAATTCATCTGTAGTCTTATATTCCTGTAATGTTTCTGGTTTTGCCTATCAGAGTAATACTGACCTCATAGGATGAATTGGGAAGTAAATTCTCCCCTTCAGTTTTCTGGAAGAGTTTGTGTTGAATTGATATTATTTCTTTCTTAAATGTTTTTGGTAAATTTCACCAGTGAAGCCATCTGGGACCGGAGTTTTCTTTGTGGAAAGGTTTTTATTTATAAATTAAATGTATTTAATAGATATGGGGCTATTCAAGTTATGTATCATTTATTAATTTAGCTTTGGTGGTTTGTGTCTTTCAAAAATTTGTTTCATCTAAGTTGTTGAAATTGTCGGCCTAAAGTTGTTCATTATATCACCTATATCATCCCTTTAACATCTGTAAAACTTACAGTGGTGTGACCTTTCTTATTCCTGATATTTGTAATTTATGTCTTCTCTATTTTTCTTCCTGGTCAGTGTAACTAGAGGATCAGTCAATGTAGAGGTCAGTTTTATTGATCTTCTCAAAGAACCCAGCTTTTGGTTTTACTGACTTTTTTCTCTGTCATTTTTTGTTTGTTTATTTGTTTGTTTGTTTGCTTTTTAGATAGTCTCAAAAAAAAAAAAAAAAAAAAAAAAAAAAACAAATACAGCTCACTACAGCCTTGGCCTCTCAGGCTCAGTTTATCCTCCTGCCTCATCCTCCCGAGTAGCCGGGACCACAGGTGCATGCCACTACACCTAGCTCCCTTTTTTTTTTTTTTTTTTTTTTTTTTTGACGAGGGTTTTTTTTTTTTCCCCGCTGGGGTTTAGCGGCACGATCTCAGCTCACTGCAACCTCTGCTTCCTGCGTTCAAGCAATTCTCCTGCCTCAGTCTCCTGAGTAGCTGGGACTTCAGGAGAGTGCCACCATGCCTGGCTAATTTTTTTGTATTTTTAATAGAGACGGGGTTTCACCATGTTAGCCAGATGGCCTCGATCTCCTGACTACATGATCCACCTATCTCGGTCTCCCAAAGTGCTGGAATTACAAGCATGAGCCACCGCTCCTGGCCCCACCTAGCTCATTTAAAAAATTTTTTGTAGAGACAGGGTCTCACTATGTTGCCCAGGCTAGTCTCAAATTCCTAGGCTCAAACGATCCTCCTACCTTGGCCTCTATTGTTTTTATCTGATTTCTATTTAATTTATTTACATTCTGATCTTTATCATATCCATTCTTCTGCTTTCTTTGAGTTCCATTTGCTCTCCTTTTTCCTATTTACAAGGTTGAACACAGGTCATTAAGACCTTAATTCTGGTCTATGTGGACAGTTAATGCTACAAATTATCATCTAATTACTGCTTTAATGACAATATGCAATTTTTGAAATGTCATGTTTTCATTTTAATACAGTTCAAAATACTTTCCAATTTAACTTTTGATTCTTTTTTAAACTTGTGGATTATTTAGATGTATGTTACTTATTTTCCAAATATTTGCAGATTTTCCAGAGAACATTCTTTTGTCGATTTTTAATTTCATTTCATTGTAGTCAAAGATCATACTTTGTATGACTTTAATTCTTTTAAATATATTAAGACTTGTTCTAGGGTCCAGAATATTGTTTTTCTTGGTAAATATTTCATGTGCACTTGAGAGGAATGTACATTTTGCTGATGTTGGGTTGAATGCATTGATGTTAGTCACATCAAGTTGATTTAGTGTTAAGTGTGCTGTATCCTTGCTGATTTTCTATTTGTTCTATCAGTTACTGAGAGAGGATATTGAAATCTTTAACTATAATCGTGGATTTTTTCATTTCTCCTTGCAATTCTACCAGCTTTTGCTTCTTATATTTTGAAATTTTATTGGGTGCATAAGCATTTAGAGTTATGTTCTCATGATAAACTGATTCCTTTATTGCCTTGAAATAACTTTTTATTGCCAATATATTCTTTGCTCTGAAACTCACTTTATCTCATATTAATATAGCCACTTCAGCTTTCTTTTGATTACCTTCACTTTAGTGTATATTATCCCATCCTCTTATTTCAATCAATTTTGTTTTTATATTTAAAGTGTATTTCTTGGCCAGGCGTGGAGGCTCACGCCTGTAATCCCAGCACTTTGGGAGGCCAAGGCAGGCGGATCACTTGTGGTCAGGAGTTCAAGACCAGCCTGGCCAACATGGGGAAACCCCATCTCTACTAAAAATACAAAAATTAGCTGGGCATGGTGACAGGTTCCTGTAATCCCAGCTACTCAGGAGGCTGAGGCTGGAGAATCACTTGAACCCAGGAGGTGGAGGTTGCAGCGAGCCGAGATCGTACCACTGCTCTCCAGCCTAGGTGACAAGAGCAAGACTCCATCTCAAAAAAAAAGTGTATTTTCTGTAGGTGGCATATATTTAAAAGTTGTGCTTTGTTTTGTTTTCAGTCTTACTATCTCTGCCTTTTAATTGGTCATTTATATTTAACATAGTTATTGATATGGTTAGATTTAAATTTAGCATCTTGTTAACTATCTTCTGTTTGTCCCATTTGTTATTTTTCCTTTTTTTCTGCTTTCTTTTGAATTAATTGAATTTTTATGATTATATTTATCTCCCTTTTTGCTTATTCGCTAGAAATATATTTATTTGTTGCTTAAACTCTATAGTGCACCTATTTAACTTGTCACATTCCACCTTTAAGACATATAGTAGAATATAACACACAGCTACTCAATTTTTTATTTTATTCTGTATTATATTTCATTTTATGGGTATACCAAAGTATGTTTAGCCCATTCATTATGATGGAATTTAGACTGATTTCATATTTTACTCTTATAAACAATGCCAGATGAACATCCTTGTATATATTTCTTTACTTTTGCAAATATATCCATAAGATGAATTCACAGAAGTGCAGTTGCTCAGTTAGGTATTTTTCTGGTATTCAAATCCTCTTTTACAGTTTAGCAACTCACATTGCTTTATGAATACTAACTAATATTTTAAAGATATTAATGTTTTTAAAATAAGTTCCAAACTCATTGTGGCATAATTAACCATAGATAATGTCATTTGTTTGATTAGAGTATTTCATTTTTGAATTGTTTCCTTGTTTTTCAGCTTTGCAGGCAATAATTACTTTAGAGTATGTATTAACAGATGAAGAATCAGAAGATAATGATGTAATTGCAGAGAGAGGTTCATCTATCATGCTTCTAAGTTTAGCTGCCCAGTTTGCTCTAGAGGTAATTCATATGTATTCATCTAGTAGATTTTTACCCCTTTTCCTTTTTGAAAGACAATTAATAGAATCATTATTAGTTAGACAGAGAAGAGACCTTTACTGTTTGCTTTGCCTCATATTTTTATGTCAAACTTGGTTGCAGAACTGCTTTATTTCTTCTCATTTCATTATAGTAACAGACTAAAGTAAATGAAACAGTGAGTGAGATAACAGAGTTGTGCTCAAAACAACATAAACATAGCAAAATATTAATTTTTAAAAGAAACTCCAAGTTCAAAATGCCATACCATGGCAATAAATAGCTATCTATATGGAAACTTATCTTTCTCATCAATTTGAACAAAATGGTTTAAATTTCTGTGGATCCTTTCAGTTCCCAACCACAAAATAGTAATAATTTAGAAGTAATAAATACTTATATCCCTGTTTGTTACAGAATTCTGATTTTATTAATATAATGAATTAGGAAAAGCATAGTAGCACCTGTGGAGCTCTTAGACTAGATTTGAATACTGGCTCTGCCATTTAATAGGTACTTCTTCAAATCTTAATTTCATCCTTTGCAAAATAAAGATAATACCTATCTCCAGGACTGTTATAAAAATTGATTAAGGTGGCTGAAAATGTGACTTATAAACTATTATGTTTATCTCCTTTTTTAAACTACTTTAAATAGGAAACCCATCTTCCTGATCAGAACTATAGTTCCATAATTCTTCCACTAGCTCTCTTCAGCTTTCTACATCAAATGTAAATTTATAAACCTTCCTTTAAAAAGATAATTGCCTTTGTGTTTCCTTTCTTTCATCTTTTCCCCCATTCTGCACAAATACAGCCTATATCTGCATCTGCCAAATAGTTTTCTTCCTTCAGGAGTTCTATTACCCTACTCATTGACATTAAAACATATATAATTCAAACTGTATTTAGCAACTACTTTGGGCAATATATTGGGCTAGATGCTAGAAATATGTTCCTCCAGGGTCTCACAAGTCAATTTGAATAGGCAAGCCATGCATTAGGAAAATAAGGCTATAGAATATAGAATTCTATGTAAGTATATAGAATAAAGACAAAATAACTAATATATATGTTAAAAATTACTGAAATTCAGAGTAAGAAGAGAGAGAATGAGAACTGGAATTTATTTGGGAAGTCTCTACAGTAGAAGGAAACCTTAAGTTTGGCTTTGGAAAGGGTAGCATTTATATAATTAGGAACGTTTTTTTAAAGGAAGGGATGGTATAAGCAAGAAAGGAATGTGATTGGTTTGAGAGACACAGCATTTGGTTAAAGTCATGGAGGGCTTATGTTTCCACCATTCCAGATATTTTGCTTAATGTAATAGTGACTTTTTTTCTTTTCTCTCTCTCTCTCTTTTTTTTTTTTTTTTTTTTTTGAGACAAAGTCTCACTCTGTCACCCAGGCTTAGTGCAGTGTTGTAATTTCGGCTCACTGTAACCTCTGCCTCCCAGGTTCAAGCAATTCTTGTGCTTCAGCCTCCCAAGTAGCTGGGATTGCAGATGTGTGCCACCACGCCTGGCTAATTTTTGTATTTTTGTATTTTTAGTAGAGATTAGGTTTCACCATATTCACCAGGCTGGTCTGGAACTCCTGGCCTCAAGTGATCTGCCCGTCTCAGCCTCCCAAAGTGTTGGAATTACAGGTGTGAGCCAGTGCACCGGCCATGACTTTTATTATTATGATGATGCTATAAGGGAGGAGTATAAAATAAAGTAGAAGAAATAGCTGCGACAAGATTATATATACATTTTATTCTCTAAGCAATAAGAAAATATCGGTGATAATTTATGCAAAAGTAGTGCTTTAGGAAAATAATTTGGGTTGTGCATGGGGAAATGAATGGGGAGAATTTGTATGTAGGACTGAATGGGAGGCTGTGATAATAATTCAGTTTTAAAATAATGAGAGTCGAGACAAGGGTAGTGAGAGTGGGATATTAAGCAGGTAAAACACTGCTTTCTCTTCTTTCAAAATAAGCTACCCTTTACAGAATTCATTCCCCCACCTCCCAAGAGGTAATGTTGATATTTTAGGTTCTGAAAACTGAAGCAGTCAGAAAGAGAACTTACACAGATTCCTACTATCACCTCTACTCACACACTAGGAATCACACCACATAGTCTGCCTTCTCAACTGCTACCATATATGAGCTATCATCTTCCTTCCTAACGCCAGTCTCTAAACTTACATACTTGTTTCTATCACCTCTTGCCTTTTTCTCACTCATTTTGTCAACTTTTTATTCTTACTGGTTTATTTCCATTCATATATGAACATGCTCATTTATCCCATATGAAACAAATAAAAACCTCTTGACCTTCCTTCTCTCACCAACTACTCCCCAGTTTCTCTTCTTCCTTTTGTAGTTAAACTCCTAAAGGGTTGTCTATATTTACTGTCTCCAATTCTCTCTTGAGCTTACTCTAATCAGGCTTTTGCCCTACCACTCTAACAAAACTGCTTTTGTCAAGGTCACCAATGACCTCAGTATTGTAAATTGCAGTGATTGATTCTCAGTCCTGATTGTATTTGACCTACCAGCAACATTCAGTGCAGTTTATCACCCTTTCCTCCTTGAAACACAGTTGGCTTCCAGGACACCACATTATCCTTATTTTCATCCTACCTCACACGTCACTTTTTCTTTCTCCTTTGCTAGTTCCTCTTTTCTCCCACCCATTCTTAGTCTCAAATGATGAGCTCAGGAGAGGAGGTATTAGGCAGTTGAGAAGAAGGGATAAAGTGTTAACTATTCATACAGGAAAGTAAGAAAATGAATGACTACAGAACTGATATGCTTGCCAGTAGAATTAAGGCCATTTGATGATGTTTTAAAACAAAACAAGTGGTTGTATGTATTTTTTTTTTTCTGGCCACATTCATCTGAATCGATGCAAGCACCAAAAGCAATAGAAAGTTGGACTTAATCAAACTTAATCAGACTTGGGGTTTTGCCAGATGAATACAATAAAGCAAAAGAAGGGCAGGAAAATCAAAAAATAAGAGAGTGGTTATAATTAGTCCCCATGGAATTTAAACTGGGTATGCAGTAGAACCTCAAAGGGATGAGGGACAGTGAAAAACTGGTAGCATCAGTGGGTTGGGGTCTTTCTGCAGTAGAAGGATTGCTGGAATCAGGATAATAGAGGGATCAAGTTGGAAAGGTAAGAGGTGGTAGACAGAAAGTAGAATATGTGAAAGTAAGAGCTAGGATGGAGAACTAGGGGAAGGGAGTGAGACGCCTAGGGCACAATACTTAAGGAGAAGCCTATTCTATGGTTGGTACTTGTACAACACTGAGAGCCTCCTTAAATTTTGCACCCTAGGTGCTTCACTCACCTCCCTGTCCCACCCTAGTCCTAGTCCTGACTGAGAGTATGAAAGGGTTGCAATTGTTAGTAATGACAGTCTAGTGAATGACTGTGGAAGTGAATGGCTAAGGTAATTGTTAGAGTAAAATTTCAGAAACTCAGAGACTAGAATATTGGGAGGATCCTCTACCAATATATTGAAAATGCTGAAAATTTGCCAGGCATGTGGCTCACGCCTGTAATCCCAGCACTTTCGGAGGCTGAGGCAGGCAGATCACCTGAGGTCAGGAGTTCGAGACCAGCATGGCCAACATGGTGAAACTACCTCTCTACTAAAAATACAAAAACTAGCTTGCCATAGTGGTGGGCACCTGTAATCCCAGCTACTCTGGAGATTGAGGCAGGAGAATTGCTTGAACCCAGGAGGCAGAGATTGCAATGAGCTGAAATTGCACCATTGCACTCTAGCCTGGGTGACAAAAGCAAGACTGTCTTTAAAAAAAAAAAAAAAAAAAAAAAAAAAGAGAGAGTGAGAGAAAGAAAATGCCAAAAATTAAGACGGGCAGATTTTGGGGAAAAAATAACTGAGCAATAGGTAAGTCACCAAAAAAATGAAAAGACGTGGCCTGGGAGCTAGTAGGCCACAGCAACAATGAAGGGTAGTGGGTGATATAGTCTGGTTATACGAAATTCAAAATTGGGGATTTTAGGGAATAGAATGGGAGAATAATTTTTAAATGGCAATGAAGAGCAAGAAAGACACCTACTCCATCTCTAGGCCTAAGGGAAAGCTAGTGAGAGCAAAAACAGCTACCACTCTTAAGAGGGCTTCAGTAGAAGCAGCATCCTTGGCAGAAGCCTAGATATCCATTAGAGCAAGAATGTGGAGGGACCTAAGTTGAGGGAAGAGGTTGCAACTGGTAGTGGAGATTTTGCTGAGTGGACTGAGTTTCAGAGAGCATAGTGGAAGGGTTAGAGGAGTTTGGGAGAGATAGAAAAATAGGACAGAAGAGGAGATATATGGAGACTTTTGGGAATAGAGTGCTGGCAAAGACCTGACAATCTGGGGGTCTTTTGTTTACTGCCAATAAATGGAAACTAAAGAGCACAATAAGATTAGTCCTAGTGGATTAAGGGTAGTATTGGCAAGGCTTTGAGTGTTTGAATGGGTTTCTGGGGCTAATACAAATGTGTTCCGTTTTTGTCAGTGAGTTATATCTTCATTTTGCCATCTTGCAGTAGCTTTTTTGAGAATACAAAATGAACATGTTTGGATATTTTTCTTATCTTTAATAAACAGGAATATACATAACATTTTGCAGTATCACTCTGAGATATAATTTAACATATTTGTTCTTTTTAGAATGGACAACAAATTGTGGCAGAAAAAGCTTTGGAATATTTGGCTCAACGTTCAGAAGACCAAGAACAAGTTCTTACAGCTACAAAGTAAGTAACCTACATCCTGTGGAAGAGAAAGGATTTCCTCTGCTCTTGGTCGATAAACTCTGCCAAAATAGTGCTATTGAGATCAAGAGATCAAGAGAACTTTTACATAAAAAAGTGAGGCAGAGGAGAGTGAGGTTGGGATTTGATAAATATTTAATGGTATGACTGAGAAAATGCCACTGTGAGAATTGAGAAACCAGCAGGACTCTAGAGTGGTTCTTCTGTTAGTCAATCACACTTGAGGCCACATTTCCAAAGGGAAATGGAGTCACATAAATAAGAGTCAGAGGAGTCTTGAGATACTTGCATGCCTTCAGTAAGGTAAATATTTAAAAATCATTCAGGACAGACAGTATTTTTTAAAGCTTTTTAGGTTTTAAAACTTTACCAGCTACCTTGTTTTGTCCACTTGTCATTACGCTGCTAGATCCCTTCAAAGAATAGTGATCTTAGTTTGAGTCCCAAAGGACAGTTCCAGTTTCTTTACAAAAAAAGACCATATATATAAAGACTGATTTACCATACTTGATGTTCTAGCAGGTGTTTTTGAGCAATGATAGAAACTGTGGAACCATTTAAGAATTTGTTATGGCCAGGCGCGGTGGCTCACGCCTATAATCCCAGCACTTTGGGAGGCAGAGGTGGGCGGATCACAAGGTTAAGAGACTGAGACCATCCTGGCCAACATGGTGAAACCCTGTGTCTACTAAAATACAAAAATTAGCTGGGCGTGGTGGCACGCACCTGTTGTCCCAGCTACTCGGGAGGCTGAGACAGGAGAATTGCTTGAAGCCGGGAGGCGGAGGTTGCAGTGAGCCGAGATCATGCCACTGCACTCCAGTCTGGCGCCTGATGAAAGAGCAAGACTCTGTCTCAAAAAAAAAAAAAAAAGAATTTGTTATAAGCAACACTTTTGTTTTAAAATTATTTTATTAAATTCCTCTTTCAAAATTATAAAATTGGAATGTTTTCATTGCAACCTTTAAAACAATAAAATACATATACATAAAATAAGATTAATCCCCCCTTTACCCTCTCTTCTCCCTCCCAGAGTAATCAAGGTTAATAATTTGGTATATATTCATTCACACGTTTCTTCCTAACCTAAGAATCACTTTCTATATTACTTTATCATACAGATGTTTGATTCATCTTGTTTTTCCAAAAATTGCTGAAATGCCGGAATCTGAAGATAAGTGAGTTATTTCAACAAAAATAATGTATTTGCCATTAGACAAATTATAGTAACTTACAATATAAACTGTATATTAAGAGATACTTAGTGTAGTGTGTAAGATCAACAGACTCTTTGGGGTCAGTCTTCCTGGGTTCATATCCTGGCTCTGCTACTTCTTAGATGTGTAACCTTGGGCAAATTTCTTAACTTTTCTGAGCTTCAGTTTCCCCATCTGTAAAGTAGGAAAAATAATAGAACTTACATCTTTGGGTTGCTGTGATGACTCAATTAGTTAAAACTTCTAAAAGGCGAAAGACTTATGTGATCTGCAGAGAAACCAGAGTATAAGTTAATACATGTAAAACATTTAGAGTGTCAGGAAATTAATAAGCCCTCAATAATGTTATCTGTGGTAGAATTATGATATTGTATCTCTTGCCCCTTTCTTAACAGATAACTCAAATACAGACATATCTCTTACTTTCCCACAGAACATATAACCTGGATGGCTTGTTGGTTATGATTCTGTATCAGGTCAGCAGGGAGTATTCAAATATATTGCCGTGCATAAGACCAAATATATTTCTGTGCATTTCTTGGCATAAGATATTAAAACTTAACAATTGATAAAACTGAACAATTCGTTGAAGACTTTGGTCACTAATTTTTCATTCACAAAACTCACTACCTCCTGATTATTTGAGAGAAAACTCTGCTCAGGGTGTTGATTAGGGATAACTTTCAGAGAAGTATCAGCCATCTGCATTCTCTGCTTGTACAGGAACTCTGTAATAGTTCTCTCTACTTCACTTTTGCAACTGGAGGTAATATATTTTTTCAGATAAATTCTTTTGGAAATATCTTTGACTGAGATAACATAGGACAGATGACTTATAACTGTCTTTTTCATAATGCAAATTTTATCCAATTGCATTTTGCGTTTCCTTTATAGACTTCATAAATCCATTAGAAGGGAACTCAAACAAAACAAAAGATGAAGCAATTGGAATTTTGAATAATGACCAAATATTTACTGGCATTAAGAAATTAACTTTTAGACATGATAATTGTAGTGTGGTTTTTTTTTTTGAAACGATTGCTTATCTCTTACAGACACATCTTGAAATATGTATGGTTGAAATAATGTGATATCTGGAATTTGCTTCAAAATAATATTGGAGAGGAAGAAGTGGGTGGAGGTATCAAGGAGATAAGATTGATGAGTTAATAATTATTGAAGCTGTGTGATAGGTATATGGGGATTCATTATGCTTGTCTGTTAACATTTGGACATCTTTGAAGTTTTCAACAATAAGAAGCTTTTTTAAAAAAAAGACTAAACCATGATAGCTACTAGATTGTAAGAGTGCCTTGAGAGCTAGGACTATATTTGTATTTGTGTTCGTATCACCGAAACCTAGAGCAGTATCTGACTCACAATTGCCACTCAATTTATTTAAGTGGCTGAATATTAGTTATTTATAATATCTTCAGCACTGGACTTAAAGGTGCTTCATATTCCTCATAATTGTGGCATACAGTCAAACCACACACATTAAAACCAGTTGAGGAACAGAATAAGGGGGGGAATCCTGTTTGAATTAATGAGAAATTACACAACACTTTTTAAAACATACCTTCATTGTTTTCAAGTAAATGTAGTAATAGAAAACATCCTCTAGCAACCTTTTCATGTAGAAGTTAGAACCTGATTTAACAAGTAGATTAGACTAACTTGTAAAAAAAATTAAGTGCTGAATTCAATGAGAGGACTCAAGAGAATTGAATTATAGGTTCAGCTATTTCAATAACTTTTGGTTTACCATAGGCAATGGCAACTTATTTAACTTCTCGAAGCTTTATTTTCCTCATCTGTAAAATTTTAAAAGCTGGACTGGATAATTTTTAAAGGTCCTTTCTGTTCCAAAATTCCTGTGGTTATAGATGAGCAGTATCTACCTAAGTACTGACAACTCATATGCTAAATTTTTTAAAAGCAGTTTTTCCTCTTAAATAGATTATACATTCCTTTGTATGTCTTCACTCTTATTTGTACTGTATATTTTTATTACTGGACCCTTCCTAGATTATTTGATATGGAGTCACTGAATTAAATAGTGAAGAAATCAACTTTAGCTCAGCTGAGATTCATATAAGTAAAATTTACTGTAAGAAGTTACTTTATATAAACTAGACTTCTAAGATTTATAGCTGAAAAATCAGCTACTTTTCCTGACCACAGTCTTTATTTATGTTAGACCCCTCCTGATAAGGCCAGTCTTACAGTATGTTCTACCCTTCTTACTGTAAACTTCCTCCCAATACTTCGACGTTCATTCCTTTGTTAAAGCAAAATAAGCTGTTTTCCTCTGGTTAGTTTTTACCTCACTTTATTTTTTAAGTTTAATATTTCATTTTTTAGCTAAGTTTTAGGTTCACAGAAAAGCTAACAGGGAGGTACAGAGTTTCCCATATATCCCCTCTCCCCACCACATGCATAGCCTCCTCCATCCCCAACCAGAGTGGTACAATTATTACAATTGATGAAGCTAAATTGACATACATAATCACCTGATGTCCATAATTTATATTAGGATTCACTCTTGATGTTGTACATTCTATGGGTTTAGACAAAGGTATAATGACATGTATATATCATTACAATATCAATATCATATGGAGTATTTTTACTGCCCTAAAAATTCTCTATGCTCCACCTATTCATCCCTCTGTACTGTTTCCATAGTTTTGTCTTTTCCAGAATGTCGTGCAGTTGGAATCATACAATATATAGCCTTTTCACATTGGCTTCTTTCACTTAGTAATATGCATTTAAGGTTTCTCCATGTATTTTTGTGTCTTGATAGCACTGAATGATATTGTATTGTATGAATATATCACATTTTATTTATTCATTCACCTATTGAAGGGCATCTTGATTTCTTCCAAGTTTTGGAGTTGTGAATGAAGTTTCTGTAAACATTCATGTGCAGGTTTTTGTGTGGCATTTTTAGCTTCTTTGGCAAATATTAATAACCAAGGAGGATGATTGCTAGGTCATATGGTAAGACTATGTATGTTTGGTTTCTGAGAAACTGGTAGACTGTCTTCCAAATTCCTGTGCCTTTTGCATTCCTTCCTGCCAGCAATGAATAAGGGTCCTGTTGCTGCGTGTCCTCACCAGCATTTGGAGTTGTCAGTGTTTGCGATTTTGGCCATTCTGATAGGTATCCAGTGGTATCTCATTGTTTTATTTTGAATTTTTCTGATGACATATGATTTGGAGCATCTTTTTATATGTGTATTTGTCATCCTATATCTTCTTTGGTAAGGTTTCTGTTAAGGCCTTTGGCCCATTCTTTTCTCCTAAGGCTTTTAGGACCCTTGTGCCAGGAACCTCAAACTAAATACACTTCTAATTATACCACAGTGTAAAGATCCCTGGTGTTTGACCACAGATCCCAAATATAACAAAAGGATCATAATGGTTAAAAGACACTGGCAGATTACTGAAGTCCCATTCAGTCATTAAAAATTTGTCCAGTTCATCACATCATTACATCATGAAATTGTCTCCCAGGGTAAAGCCACTGAGGTTTCCAGGCTTCTATTTGGTCAGATTCCAAAAGCAGGAGTGGTCTCCACAATGTATGGCTTCACCTTTTCAGGATCTGGTATAATTGAGCTAAGAAACAATATCATCTTTTGCCCTGAAACTCTTGAGGTACTGATGTAATATTGGATTTCCCTTACTGCATAACTCATTTGTTCATTTCTTACTCTCATCTACTATTCCTCCTTTTTTCTATTTATAACCAAACTTTTCCACATTTGAAAGAACGCTAGGTGCTGGTCCAGATTACAGGCAATACTAATCTAGCAAATGCCTCCCCCTCAGTCCACTCCCATTTATATAAGGTAGGGTTGTATAGATACAGAATTAGTGGACTATCTTGACCATTAAGCAATGCAGCTGCATTTACTCTTAACCCCACTTTTGCTAGATAGGGTAAAGACACATCCTGCCCACATGAGGCCCTTAGGAATTCTGACATAAAGATTTTAAAATATAGTTAGGTTTCTTGCTTAGGAATCAGCCCTGTTTCCAACACTTGTAGTTGCAGCCATGGTCTTGCTTATGTTTCATCAGGTAGGAAACATAAAGTTGAGCTGATATGAGAAGGAAAGAAAGAAAAAAGAAATATTGTCATCATACCAGTGTCCTACCCCCTTGGGAAGAATTGCAGTCATACTAGCATCCTTCCCCAACTCCTCTTCCTCAGACTCACCAGAAAAACAGAGGAGTCTATCTAGTGGGGACACTTCCTTAGCCCCACCCCCCATATTTAGTATGAACTTGTGAAGGCATGTAAGCCAGTCCTTCGTCCCTATGTCTGCCCCCATTTTAGACAACCAATGTTTCAACTGCCTGTTCCTCTTCTGTTTCTAACTATTATTCTAAGGAGGATATATCTCTGCCCATTGTTGGACATTATGGGTTATAAAGTGTTTCTTGGTCTGACAAACTGTGACTCAGCAGCCTAAATTGGTGCAGTATATTCTGTTCCAGTTCTTTTATTACATTCTGAGCATTTTCATCAACCACTGTGTAAGCAAAGGCCAATTCAGAGTTATTGTCTATTGCTGATGAAACTCATACCCTGGGGCTACCAGCATCAGTCTGACTTGCCAGCTGTCTTCAGGGCTTTCCCCCTGAGGAATCTGCCACATAGCCATCTTAAGTCTCTGCCTCTTTTGTTGGAAAACAGAACAGTTATTGGCATTTTGTGCTTCAGAGGGTACAAGAGGAATACGTGTAGGTTCAACCTATCTCTGTATTGCTGAGTTTCCAAATGGCCACTGATTTCATGGACCCAGGGGGCCACCTTGGGAGCACACAGGGATATCCACTTGTTGATTGTAATCACCTTCCAAATCTGGAAGGATATTCTTTTGATGGATATCAACGTGTCCTACATTAATCCACCCCTCAAATTTTCCTAGTGATTTTCCGTAGAG